TCTATCTCCCTCTCTCTCTCTGCCTCTACATTTCCAGACATCATTTTATGCTTTTCATGATTGACCAAGTAATAAAATTTAAAATTTTATTCATCTTTTTACTCTTAATATAATAGTTCCTGTCACACTTGACTGTATGTTTGTGCAATGCTGAAAAATTATAAATTAACTTCTGGTAGTAGCAATTCCAGTAACAAGAAATGCAGGTGAGGCTGTGGTCATGCCAATGGTGGGGTAAAGCATTGTCTGCATTTGCTGGGAGTCTGGAGTCAGGCAGTCAGTTTTGTGTTTGTGCATTTGACACAAATCTGGCTCCAGTTGCCATGAAGATGTTTCCACATTTCATTGACTTTTTTAAGAAATATCATACATGTTGTACTTTCAATATGTTGTCCAATAATGCTCCAATAAATTGTATTACTGTGCAACATAAGAGATTCCTTCCCATCAAATTTGATGGGTCATACTATACCTAGTCCATACATATTTTAAAGAACGAAATTGGCCCATTGTAACATCCATCAGTGAGCTCTTGTATGGTGGTGGTGATGATTTTAACATTAAATGAAGAACAAAATAAGTAGTTTTTTTAGCTTGTTACAGAAATTATACATTGTGTGAATAGTTTACAATTTTTGCTGTTGTATGTGCCTTTAAGTCATGCCACTTAGCATGCCAGATGTTACATACAAATACATGCCAGTTTTTAATGTATTTTAATATACAAAACATTGGGACCTGTTGTCAACACTTTGAAGTCAAAGCTCATCTAAATAATACTTAATAATTCAAACTGTACCTCAGAGAAGACAACATTTCACCATTACAAAGGTTAGTTTGTAAATTCTGTGTAAGGAAATGATCACTGTTTATTCTGAGACTCATAGAAATAAAAATGTGCGATTACTGATTGTTAAATTATATGGTAGTTCCCACTGAGATTTAAAGGAGTGATGCTAATGTCACTCCAATATCAGAGGTTTGCACAGCCACTATGTTTTCATTATCGATTTCTAGGAATTTAAAAATTGGAAAGGTCTAATGGCCTGAGAGTTGATAGGGGGCAAAGTCATGATACTATAAACCTGTTTTCTTTTAAATTAATATAAGTAGACATAAATAAACTTGTAATAATGCATATAAACTAGAAATTATAACACTTTACCAAGTAAGAACCTAGAAGTATAATTCGTCATTTTAGACTGTTCTGTTTCACCCATTTACAGTATGTTGCCAATGTTATATTAATGGAATAAAATTCTCATTGCACTTTTAATGCATCAGTGTTTTTGGGATGTAACTACACAAAAGCTATGTCTCGTATTGAAGAAGTTCCTTTGGTAAATAATTATGTGTATAATATCACAGCAAGTTTCCTATAAAAATTGCATGTGTTTGATCTCTTTGCATGTAATGAAAATGTTTGTTATTAATTATGTTAACACAAATTTCTGCCATATACAGAGTGACAAATATCGGCATAAATTATTTGAATAAAACAACTGGGCAGGATCTTGACCAAAAAATAACATGAATATAAAATAACTGCATGTAACCAGTTTTATTACATTTTTTTGTGGTGTGAGTATTAATAATATAGATAATTTAAACTGCTGTTTAAAGTGAATTGGAATCTAATAATATATATATATATATATATATGTAAAGGGAATTTGTAAAATCTTATGCAGTGTTGTTTGTTGCAGGTGCTAGAGTACAAAGACTCCTTGAAATCAAAGGTGAGTGAATGGGTGTTGTGTTGTGTGAGGCCTAATAACATTCCTTCAAAGCCAGTTGTTTGTTGTTGTTTTTATAGGAAATTTGCTGTTCTTATTCAATGACAAAGTAGGACATAAGATGAATTGCACTGTTATAAAGTAGCACTTTTGTGTATTAATTGACTGAAAGGGATACTTCTTAACAAGAAGATAGGAGGCACTACAGTCTGTGTAGATGTATGAATAAAGCAAGATCTGATTCTAGATCATGTGTGATCACACATAAAATATCTGTAGTTTTATTTATTCTTAACCTTTACACTAGTTGATGACGAGTGCTTAGCTACACACTCAGGCCACTTTACCCCCAAGGAAATATCTGTGATACCCGTCAGATAGGAGACTGGATGGACCACAGAGCATGTGTGGACACTTGAAAAGAAAGATTGTGCACTGCGTGGAATCAAAGTCTTGTCGTCCGTCCCATAGCTGAAAGTGGAAATTCCGCTTTCAATTTCTGACAGATTTGAATAGTCCTGATGAAATTCATTATAGTTATTATGCACTAAAATTCAAGTATATTAGAGTTTCAACCACACTTCTGATATGAAAATGTGATTTTAATGTTGTTCATTTAAGTTTATTTATGGTTTTTTGTTGTTTCAGGCTGAAGATTTGATTCTCAAAGGTTTTCCAAAGAAAATTGTTGAATTAAATAAGTTACTTGATACAGCTCAATTTGGGAGACAAGATTTGACAGAAGTCCATCAACCTCTGAACATCCCTGTACCAGATCCAGTCATTGTCAATAGGTTAGTGCAAGATGTTCTGAAACAAGCAGCCATTTTGTGATAATTTCCTCACTACACTTATACAGATTGCATTGTAGTTACAGTTTTTTTTAATGAGTCATGAGTTTGTAAAGTAGAATTATAATCTATTGCTGTAATTGGCCATTTATAACTATGTATATAACCTGATGGTAATTAAATTTAATGTTGGAGAATGTTGTTAATACTTCCAAAAATGTTGCGCAGGTGGATATTTGCTTACTTTTATAAACATTTACTACAGTTAAATTAATATTAAGTGTTATACTCATTTCAGTTCAATTTTCTTCCTTCATATGGCATTTCTGCCACCATCTGAACAGAACACATCTTGTGGAAAATCTTAAACTATCTGTAGATGGTTGTCTTCTGAGTTGTAGTGATAACCTCAAATCCTACTTTAACAGTCTGTATTTGTGTTTACTGTGACATATACTGCAGTTTTTGTTCTTTGTAACATAATGTTAATTCAGTTCTTGTTGGTAGCCATGTGGTGGAACAGCCAAGCAACAAAAGGTGGAAGTACGATAATTGTGTGGTCAGCGAGAATGAGGTGCCAGGTACCAAGGTGATGGCCCTCCCAACTGGCACAGTGCCATGTAACAAACAGTTGTGCGAGTTGGTTTATGTTGTGAAGCCCCACATCAGACAACTTGTTGAAGATGCAAATCTGGTAAATTCCTCCTCTTCTTCTTCTTCTATGGCTCTCCGGTCCGTATTCGGTCCATGGCCTCCTCAATTCTCCTCTTCGATTCGGTCCTCTGTTAGGTCCGTCTGTCCGAGGCTTTGATTGAGGTAAATACATATCTTAAATAATACGTAACCACAGCATCCCACTCTGATCATTTATGAGGCCAGTGAAGATAAAGGTAATGCGGCGGACTGGCCCCTCATCTAAGGAACTGATAGTATTTCTTAAAACCTGTAAGTCTCAAGGTCACATTGTGTCGTTGGCACACACTCATTTTAAGGAGTTTATGGGCTTGATTTTTGGCATGTTTGTAATGAAAAATTGTGTCTGTTCCATTATGTTCTGACGTGCTATAAAAATTACAGGGCAAAATTAGTAGAAACCCTGAAGTTTTAGCACAGTTCTGTTTGAATGCAAAGTATAAACACAAAAGCCAGAACAGTATTCAGAACTTTATAGCTTTTCAAGAAGGACTCTGTTCCGTGGTGTTAAAGAAAGTTGTTAGGAAAAAGTGCACGTAAATGTTTATTTTTAACTCTAAGGCATTCATTTCAGTCTACCAATGCCTCCGTTTCTTGTTTCAGCTGAAAATGTGGATTTCCTTCATGATTCCAAAAATTGAGGATGGTAATAACTTCGGAGTGTCGATTCAGGAAGACACTTTGGGAGAAATCCAGTCTGTTGAGTCTGAAGCAGCTGCATTCTTTGATCAGATCTCACGATACTTTGTGTCAAGAGGAAAGATTGTTTCCAAAGTATTCATTATAATATTTTAGGATCGTGTGAAAAAGAAAAGATAAAGTATTCCATTTCTTCTTCTCTTTCAAATGGTTCAGATCAAATGTTAAATCAAACTTAAAAAAACTAACATACTTCTCGGTAGTGCAGTTTAAAGTGTTAAAAGATGCTAATAATTAATGCATTTCAGTCATTTCCAAACCTGTGTAATGGAAATGTGTGGTCTAGAATGTAAAATTTTCTTATAGTAGTTCAGGTGGTTATCAGCACTTGCAGTACGTGAATCACAAGACTCGATGAAGTAAGACGCTTGTCTTCAGTGAATATGTTGGTCAGTTTCATGATATCTGTTTAGTGTATGTACCTATTTTTATTTTGTTTTAGGTTGCAAAGTACCCTCATATTGAAGATTATCGGAGAGCTGTTCAGGAACTCGACGAGAAGGAGTATGTGAGCTTGTGGCTTGTCATGTGTGAAATACGGAATCGCTATTGCACACTTCATGATATTGTGGTTAAGAACCTGGAAAAGATAAAGAAACCTCGATCGTCTAACACCGATTCGCTTTACTAGGACATTTGACACATCCTGATCTATTTCCACATCACTTCTAGGGCTATACAAATGGTAGTAAATTGAAGTTTTATACAGACAAGATTTTGTCAAAGCTAATGTGACCCCAAGAATACATCCACAGAAATACAGTTTGTGCAAGAAATTTTAAGTCTGGTTTTATTTTGTATTGTAAGGAGTATGAGGGCAGTTTGTTTGGAAAGTTTATTTGTTTTTACCATTTTCAGCCTTTCGATTCATTTCTTTATAATTAATCTATCCTCTTTTATGCATGTTAAATTGAGTTGGAATTCATTATTAAATTATAGAGCCATACAAGTGAATACAGTATTGTTGTGTATTTTATTTGCCATCATATTACATGTTATACACTGCGGTAACATACAGGAGAATGTTTTTAGCCTATACCTCAAACATAAATACCATATGGATGGAACAGTATTATTTAATACTCAAAAGAGAGCCCTACCATTAACAGTTTTAATGCTTGATAAGCCCTGTTTTCCGACCATTTTTAATTCCATTTCCATTCGACCCATGCAGACGCTATTACAGAGTGTGGTAAAAGCCAGTATGTTGCCTGCAAGTTTTGAAGAACTGAAGATTAACTGTGGTCCTGAGCAAGATATTTTTTCTACATTCCTTCATGAAATGATGAGTAACACACGTGTTTCAAGGGTGACTGATTTATTATTATTATTTTTTTTTTTGCTTGACTTTTGCCACGCCCTGTATTGTGGCAATGAAATTTCTGCAGGTTGTGAACGGATTTAGCTTTAGGGAGACTTTATAATGCAGATACAAGACATTTTATTTAATTTTCACAGTGTAGTATGTATTGGTGAATTAAAAAAAAAGATACCATGGTACCTTTATAAATTCAGTGCACGTCATTGTGTTTTCAGTATGAATGATTTTATGATTTTGTAGTGTATGATGTAATGTACAGAGTGATCAAAAGAGTCATGCAACCCATTCTTGACACTTCAAAAAATAAATTAAAATGAAATCGTAAAACAACAAACAATGTTATATCAAGAGTTGGAAATGTCCACTACATTCAGCATCGCATGCTTACAGAATGGAAACCAGAACATACAACATACCAAAGTTCATAAAACTAGAAATAATACTATACACCACTTGTCTGTAGAATCCAGTGGCGAAGCTTCCCGACATTGGTGTAAACACCGGGGAAACCAATGCGTCCACAGCCTGTACCCCAAGACACAACACCGATCTGATGACCATGAGACACGATGGGACCACCGGAATCCCCCTGACAAGAATCCTGTCCAACAATTCCCGCACAGAACATGTTCGCTGTTATCACGTTTGGCGCGTACAGCCACTCGCATTCAAATCGTGGAAGCAGAGGTACTTGCACTTTTTGGAGGGTGTGAGCCATTTCACCATCCTCCTTTGTGTGGCCCCATCCTAATACTACTGCTGACCTGCCTAGCAGAAATTTTTTCTTGTTGAGTTTAACTGGTTTCACCTTGTCACTAAATATGAGTGGCTCGGACACCTGCAGGAATAACAAAAACATCACACGTTTTCGATACTTCATTTAGCCTTTTGTTATACCAAGCACAGTAAAATTAAACAACCCCTGCTGCACTGAACATATTAAAATATAAATTAAAAAGGAATTTGAAGTGAATTGTCATACTGTAGTGTTTGGAACTCGCACTTTAAACTCTGGATGTCCCAGTTTTGATTCTTGGTCCACAGACGAGCTATCCTGACTACAAATTTTGTGGTTTTCCTCAGTCCCTTCAAACAAACTCTAATATTACCTTAAAATAGGCCAAGATTGCTTCAATCCATAATCATTCCAATTCATCATCTGTGATTAAATAAACGTGGAACGATTAAATTAACTCATCTTATAATGGAAGTACACAGTGAATTTAAACAAAATGACACTGGCTTAATAATGTCTCTCAGCTGCATACGTGATGTAGTGTCAAATGTTAGGATTATATGAATGAGAAACAGAAAAAGATATAAGGAGCAGCCATTTTGTTTTATTGAAATATACCAGAATTTACCTGGAGGGATTGAGAAAATATTTCAGCCAGGACAAAGGTTAAAACTGGGACTTCCTAAAAATGAAGCAGGGATGGATATTTAGCTTTTTGCACTGAAACTAGATAAATATTAGAAAGATTTAATATTTTTATTAAATAGAACAAAATCAAGGTGATGTGGTCTAGAAATAAATGCAGGAAAGACAAAGTATATGATGTCTCAGCTTCAGAATTCACAACAGAACCAGAACATAAGTATAGCTACTGAACCGGTCAAAAATGTGACAAAATTCATGTACTTGGGGGTTGACACTAGTGTTTCAGAATGATGTTCATGACAAAATTAAGAGCAGATTAAATTCAGGGAATGCTTCAGTCCAAAATCTTTTGTCTTCCTGTCTCAAATCATAAAAATAAAGGTTAAAATATACAAAAGTGTGCTGTATGGGTGTGGAACATGGTCTCTTATTTTGAGGGAGGAATGTAGATTGAGGGTTTTTGTGAACAGGGTGTTGAGAAAGATATTTGAACCTAAGAGGTAAAGAGATGGATCATGGAGAGAAATGCATAATGAGCTTCACATCCTGCACTCCTCACTTGATATTGTTAGGGTGATTAAATCAAAGATGAAGTGGGCAGGACATATCGAACTCATGGGTGGGGGGAGACTGCTGGGAAGACCTAGGTGTAGATGGAAGGATAACGCATAGTGTGAAACTGCCCATCATCTATTGTAAAACTTCAAAAAGTCTCCTGCTTTAATGCCATTCCCTTGTACATTTTCACAGCTTGGTGCTTAAGCACAGGGATAAGTTTATTATCTACCTTTATCTTTTCTGTTATCATGGTTTACACAAACTCAAGGATTACATACCTTCAGTAAAGCAATATCACAATCACTGGTAACATAGTCATAGTTTGGGTGCATAATAATATCGCTAACTTCATGTACATGACCACCTTCGTCCCTAACACTCGTACCAACGCGAACCAGTAAGTCAGAAGGGTCATACCTGTAACACACAGCACATGCTTTTCAAATACAGCTGTTCACCCTAAAATAACAACATAAAGTCTTACCACATTCAGGACATAACTATACAAAAAAATTTAAGGTTTTCAGTGTTGACCGACCATCGTGTAAGACTGGCATCAGTGCAATGACAGGTAAGAAGAACAGGCACTCATCACTGTGCACATTATCTGACAGCTGTATATAAAACAAATTTTTGTTAGCAAATGGAAGTAACCAAAATAAACTTACATATATACACAATGTGCTGCAGTTAAAACCCAGTCAGCACTGATGATGGAACCCCCACACATGTGGGAAGTGGTCTGGACACCCTGAAACAGTGCCAACAGTATCTGCAGAGGTGTCAAAGACAAATATATGTGTGTTGTTACAAGGTATATGTGAACCATCCTTTCTATATCATATGTTGTGTAGCCCATTACAGTTTATTGCTATCACTTCAGCAGTTTTCCTAGGCTTGTATGCTATAATATGTTTTGGTATTATCTTCATTTCCATTCTCCCTACGCACTATTTGCAATTTGTTCAATAATTTGTTATTGTTATGATGACTGATTAAATTCACAATTCTCCCAAGTCCATTTTGGTACTGCACGTACGTCCCGTGCGGTCTGAGGCATCATGCTTTGGACCAGTGATACGGAATGCACGCTGGTTCGAGTCTTGGGGAAGGAAATTTCTCATGAGATTTTCGACCGGTGTATGGAACCGGTGCCAACCCAGCATCATGGGGAAATTGGGGAGGTACAATGGGTAGCGTAATCCGGTCATGAAAACTAGCAATGGCTGGGGGTTCTTCGTGCTGACCGCACGTCACCCAATATCTGGTTGGATGATCCTTCACCTCTGCTTAGGCATGTGAACGTGAGGCCAGCGGCCAGCTAGTCGACTTTGGCTCTCAGAGGGCTGTTACGCCACGGATTATTACTAATAGTATACAGTGTTCTCAAGGTGGTAAAATATTAGTGCTGATCTTCTGGGGTAGTAATAGCGTGTGGACTTATAGATAGATACTAATGTTTTGGTATCTGAGGAACCAAATTTCACATTTTCCATCCGTCTGTAAATATCCAGTTTTGCCAAGCTTTTTAAAGCCTTAAATCTACCAAGTTGTTGTACTAATAAGGGTCTAAATACCTGATTTATTGCTCCAATTTGGAAATTACTACCTCAGCTTGTTCAGAGGATAAATAAAGGTAGCATCCCTACTATGGGACTTGCTGTTTCTCGGCTAGCAGCTAATTAGCATGACATCTTGCTTTCAACTTTCATAAATACTTAACACATTTTTAACAGAACATAATAAAAGGTCCCTTTATGAAACTCACACAATGATAGACATCCAAGGAGAAATAAATATTATCGCCCTATAAGACTTTGACAAGATATCACAGGAATTGCCACATACTGAACATTAACTCATTGTTCCATAAAATGGATGTCTGATCGTCTTACCTTTTCATCTTCTTCAAATGTTGCCAATGAAACCTAAAAACAGAGTAAAACATTGGTCTTTTAAATTTTTCGTTTGTATCAACTGAGACAGTGACACATATTATTAAACTACTGAGTGTTAAGTAACATAATTACTAATTACATGGCACAGAATTTTCATAGAATAGCTGATAATTTTCCATCTGGTTACAGAATTCCCTGTCGAAATGGAAAGAGACCATGACAGCCCACAATTATTATGACTATAAAAGACAGAAACATTTTTTTAAACTTGTCAAATAATTATAGATTTAAAAAAAGAAGTTTGAAAAATATTTGTTTTACTCATCAAATAATTACAGATTAGAATCATCCTAGAAAGGTAAAGATTAAAAGATGCAAAAGTGCAATTTTGCCTGCTATTTTGTATGAGTGTGAATCTCTGTCTCTCATATTAAAGGATAAATAAACTAAGGTTGAAGGTAATAAGGGTTCAAAGGTATTTCACTTCCACAGTATTTGTATACAAATTAATAACTACTGTCAGTACAGCATACCTGGTAAGGAAACTTCTGGATTCTGGCATTAACACCTCCTAGAATGGGACTTGTTACCTGTTGTGGGTGTTTATGTTGCTTTAATGCTGAAAAATAAAAGTCATCTAATTTTAAATATTCGGTTTGGGTACAGTGATGCAAAACATTGCTTCATGTGCAGAATTAATTTCCTTAGATAAATAATAGAAAAGTGTGCAGGGAACATGAGTTAATAACCCAAAAACATTAGAAATGCTAAACACTTTGGAGATCATAATCCAACTTTTACTTAAGAGATTTCAGTTCACATTATGTAACAATTTTCAAAATGCACAACACAAAATATTTATGTCAAATTTGTACAGAGAAACTTCTGAAAAATAAATGCTATTTAGTGACTTAGTACGATTTGATGTTTTCACAGTGGTGAGAATGAAGATGGCTGTCTTCTTCTGGTAGAAGTTTTTCAATATTTCAGAGGTCCTCACTGCCTTGCCTTGATGATGGAAGCATACTCACAGTGCTACAACCTACAAGACAGCCATCTTCCTATCTATTGATTTGTCTATTAATTTATGTAATTTATCTTTGGGATGGCTGCGCATAGTGTGAAACTGCCCATCATCTATTGTAAAACTTCAAAAAGTCTCCTGCTTTAATGCCATTCCCTTGTACATTTTCACAGCTTGGTGCTTAAGCACAGGGATAAGTTTATTATCTACCTTTATCTTTTCTGTTATCATGGTTTACACAAACTCAAGGATTACATACCTTCAGTAAAGCAATATCACAATCACTGGTAACATAGTCATAGTTTGGGTGCATAATAATATCGCTAACTTCATGTACATGACCACCTTCGTCCCTAACACTCGTACCAACGCGAACCAGTAAGTCAGAAGGGTCATACCTGTAACACACAGCACATGCTTTTCAAATACAGCTGTTCACCCTAAAATAACAACATAAAGTCTTACCACATTCAGGACATAACTATACAAAAAAATTTAAGGTTTTCAGTGTTGACCGACCATCGTGTAAGACTGGCATCAGTGCAATGACAGGTAAGAAGAACAGGCACTCATCACTGTGCACATTATCTGACAGCTGTATATAAAACAAATTTTTGTTAGCAAATGGAAGTAACCAAAATAAACTTACATATATACACAATGTGCTGCAGTTAAAACCCAGTCAGCACTGATGATGGAACCCCCACACATGTGGGAAGTGGTCTGGACACCCTGAAACAGTGCCAACAGTATCTGCAGAGGTGTCAAAGACAAATATATGTGTGTTGTTACAAGGTATATGTGAACCATCCTTTCTATATCATATGTTGTGTAGCCCATTACAGTTTATTGCTATCACTTCAGCAGTTTTCCTAGGCTTGTATGCTATAATATGTTTTGGTATTATCTTCATTTCCATTCTCCCTACGCACTATTTGCAATTTGTTCAATAATTTGTTATTGTTATGATGACTGATTAAATTCACAATTCTCCCAAGTCCATTTTGGTACTGCACGTACGTCCCGTGCGGTCTGAGGCATCATGCTTTGGACCAGTGATACGGAATGCACGCTGGTTCGAGTCTTGGGGAAGGAAATTTCTCATGAGATTTTCGACCGGTGTATGGAACCGGTGCCAACCCAGCATCATGGGGAAATTGGGGAGGTACAATGGGTAGCGTAATCCGGTCATGAAAACTAGCAATGGCTGGGGGTTCTTCGTGCTGACCGCACGTCACCCAATATCTGGTTGGATGATCCTTCACCTCTGCTTAGGCATGTGAACGTGAGGCCAGCGGCCAGCTAGTCGACTTTGGCTCTCAGAGGGCTGTTACGCCACGGATTATTACTAATAGTATACAGTGTTCTCAAGGTGGTAAAATATTAGTGCTGATCTTCTGGGGTAGTAATAGCGTGTGGACTTATAGATAGATACTAATGTTTTGGTATCTGAGGAACCAAATTTCACATTTTCCATCCGTCTGTAAATATCCAGTTTTGCCAAGCTTTTTAAAGCCTTAAATCTACCAAGTTGTTGTACTAATAAGGGTCTAAATACCTGATTTATTGCTCCAATTTGGAAATTACTACCTCAGCTTGTTCAGAGGATAAATAAAGGTAGCATCCCTACTATGGGACTTGCTGTTTCTCGGCTAGCAGCTAATTAGCATGACATCTTGCTTTCAACTTTCATAAATACTTAACACATTTTTAACAGAACATAATAAAAGGTCCCTTTATGAAACTCACACAATGATAGACATCCAAGGAGAAATAAATATTATCGCCCTATAAGACTTTGACAAGATATCACAGGAATTGCCACATACTGAACATTAACTCATTGTTCCATAAAATGGATGTCTGATCGTCTTACCTTTTCATCTTCTTCAAATGTTGCCAATGAAACCTAAAAACAGAGTAAAACATTGGTCTTTTAAATTTTTCGTTTGTATCAACTGAGACAGTGACACATATTATTAAACTACTGAGTGTTAAGTAACATAATTACTAATTACATGGCACAGAATTTTCATAGAATAGCTGATAATTTTCCATCTGGTTACAGAATTCCCTGTCGAAATGAAAAGAGACCATGACAGCCCACAATTATTATGACTATAAAAGACAGAAACATTTTTTTAAACTTGTCAAATAATTATAGATTTAAAAAAAGAAGTTTGAAAAATATTTGTTTTACTCATCAAATAATTACAGATTAGAATCATCCTAGAAAGGTAAAGATTAAAAGATGCAAAAGTGCAATTTTGCCTGCTATTTTGTATGAGTGTGAATCTCTGTCTCTCATATTAAAGGATAAATAAACTAAGGTTGAAGGTAATAAGGGTTCAAAGGTATTTCACTTCCACAGTATTTGTATACAAATTAATAACTACTGTCAGTACAGCATACCTGGTAAGGAAACTTCTGGATTCTGGCATTAACACCTCCTAGAATGGGACTTGTTACCTGTTGTGGGTGTTTATGTTGCTTTAATGCTGAAAAATAAAAGTCATCTAATTTTAAATATTCGGTTTGGGTACAGTGATGCAAAACATTGCTTCATGTGCAGAATTAATTTCCTTAGATAAATAATAGAAAAGTGTGCAGGGAACATGAGTTAATAACCCAAAAACATTAGAAATGCTAAACACTTTGGAGATCATAATCCAACTTTTACTTAAGAGATTTCAGTTCACATTATGTAACAATTTTCAAAATGCACAACACAAAATATTTATGTCAAATTTGTACAGAGAAACTTCTGAAAAATAAATGCTATTTAGTGACTTAGTACGATTTGATGTTTTCACAGTGGTGAGAATGAAGATGGCTGTCTTCTTCTGGTAGAAGTTTTTCAATATTTCAGAGGTCCTCACTGCCTTGCCTTGATGATGGAAGCATACTCACAGTGCTACAACCTACAAGACAGCCATCTTCCTATCTATTGATTTGTCTATTAATTTATGTAATTTATCTTTGGGATGGCTGTGTCACAACTTGGTGGCTCATGATTTGTACAGCTCCTTGTTAATTCCCTGAGTGAATCAATAAGGAAATAAATTTAAATAAACAATAAATGAATGCATACATACAAATATGTAATACTAAACTAGTCCAATATATTGAACATAATGCCATATACAGGCTGGGGAATTGGTCAACCACCTGTCACTATATAACAAGTGCAGAATTTTATGTTCACATCATACTTACCTCCACTACTGAAGACTAGAAATGATACAGCCAAAAGAAATGAATACCACATGTTGACAGCCACCGTACGTTTCTCTGCACCCACAGACTGCCCTAGCTTATACATTATTGTGACTGTGTCACTATATCTGTACCAGGAAAAATGAAAGTTTATCTAATCTCAAAATAAGTATTTGCCAAATTTCAGCTAACCAAACAAAGAGAGGCCTTGGCTACCACCTTACTCTATATATACTACACCAAAGATTTCATGTCTTCTACCCTATAGTTGTTATGCCACTAGAATGACTGGTATTCCAATAAAGTAGGTATTTACATTTTCAGAAATACAACAATAAATCACACCATAAATTCATGACGTTTGAAGCTCTTTTTAAAACTGGTGGCTCCATGATAAGCATTTTTGCTATCCATGGTTTTAGTTCAGTAACATGAAAATCATCAATATCACATCCTTGGCCACAGAAACTGCCAAACAGGTCCACTGACTTACCCCACCATTTTAACACCAAGGTCTGCAAATTAACACCTCTCATTGTGTGTAACTTGGAAAATCTGCAGGGATGTTATACGTTTCCTGTTTGTTTATGTCCTATGCATGAGATATACCTAATGTCTATCTGTGGCTTTCCAACAATGTAACTTATAAGGTTACAATAGAAGTATACTAACAGACGGTTTAATTAAATAATGATATCCAGCATGGAAAGAGTTAATGCATAGGAAACCATGATTCTTTCCACTATTTTACTGCGTGCGAGACTTGAAGTCTCATCCATATTGAAGAACAAAGTTTGACAGGAAGTAAAAAATTATGCCCAGCTTCCCTCTGGCATTCCAGACACGCAGTCTGTGCCAAATGTTGCCTGTCGACCAGAAGGCCACAAGGCTATAAACTGTTTATCACATTCTGCCATGGGTCTGCTGCAAATGCCAGCTCTCTGTGGTGGTATGCCAGAAATACTGACTCCCTGCTGAGAATGACCAGCTTTAAAATGGAGACTCCATATCACAGAACTTTTCTGGTAGTTTTCTGACAACTGGTGGGCTTCTGCCTCCAGTTGTCTTTTAAACTTTCCCAGGCTGGCTGATACTGAGAGAAAAACTAAGGCGGTATGCTGAATCCCAACAGGATATTCAATAATAAAAGTTTCATTTGCAATTATTTAGCTTGAATTTATTTACTTAACCCTCTTTTCAGATCACCACAGATTTCACCACTGATGTGTGTACTTTGGCTGGTTGGAAAATGTCAGACCAAAATGTGCATGCAACTCATTGTAAGGTATCGCATTAATATGATATAAACAATTACCTCCATCTAATATTACGGTGTCTTTACGCGCTTTGGCTTGTTTTACACCGACATTTGTAACCACACTCTTTTTATGTGCAGCGTTGCTCATAATACTCATTTATACGTACTTTTAGTTCAAACACCTGATTATTCTCTTGACCACACACACACACTGCATACACTTTCCAACACAGACACACATAAATGAACAAATTTATGAAAAATGTAAAACTCTTGTTAAAGAATCAATCACAATTCTCGTTTAGATTTGCTAAACTACAGTGTGGGTGGGAAGTAAGTAGGCATTGAGAAAAGTAAGCATTAAATAATCGCTATAGGTTTTGTAATATTAATGCAATCCAAATGAAAATAATGTGTATATGTCACGAAATAGGATATCATAATTCCCGCGTCGGTGGTGTGGGCATTGGCCGAGAGAGGCAGCACGCGCAATGGCAACAAAGATGGCCGGCCGCTTGACTGTTCAGGAGCGAGCGCAGATTGCTGCACGCTATGAGGTGTGGAATTTAGTGGTTGCTGTGCAGAGATGGCGTCGATATTCCCATTTAAAAAGGTACATGTAAAAATTATTTTCCTTATCTTTGCATTGAAAATATAGAGGTTATAACCATTTCTCAATGCAACCTACTTCCCACCCAACCTATATAATTCGAATACATATCAAAAGATGTCGCATTAAAATAACGGCTTTGTTTATTAAAATAAAGGTAAGTTGAGATATGAGGTCCTCACGACGACGAGTTTGAAGATGGCTGCTTTGCGGAGTGTTGATCCCTTTAGTATTATAGATAAATTTCAAATCCTACAGACATAAAGTTTACTGACATTTCAGAGATGTTTGCTGCCCCCATCATCAGGACAGTCAGCTACAAATTTCACATCTTGTCAGAAAGTAGGCGAATGAGTGTGAAAGTGTAAACATCAAAATTACATATCCTTGTTTGCTTACACTGTTTTTGTAAATGCTCCAGGTCTGTGATGCTGACACATGACAAGGACTTGGTTGGATCACCATCTGCTGTAACAGCGAGTGACTACTGACACACAACTGTAGGAAGCAGGTAATTTAACTGTTTGAGGTTTCCATGGTAGTGAAAATGTGGATTGTAGTCTAATGGGCTGTGATGCTCCGTAATCTTGTAGGTGGTTACAATGCCTTAACTACCATCAAAACCTCAGACTTCATATAGTTAAATGAAACATTGCAATCTGAGACTTTTGAGCTACATGGATAATGGGCAATATTATACAAAGATAAACATTGTGGTCTATACTCCTTTCCTGTCGTTGTTGCTTTATTCTATCAGAGATATTTGTGGTTTTTCCATATAGCACACAAGATATAAGAAGCAAAGTCATGAAAATTGGAAGATTAAGCCAAAAATGAAATAATAGGACTCAGATGCTAATGTAATTGGCTAAGGAGAGTTGGCCAGTCCTGTACATTACAGCTTCATTATAATTTTTAGAATCTGTTCGAAAATGTTTACAATTTTAATTTAGGAGTGTGATACAAAGGCCAGTTATTGAAGGTGCCTTCATTATTGGATCATAATGAGATAAATAAGTAATACTTTGTAATTAATTTATATGAAGTACAAGTCACTTGTTTAGCTCCGTGCAGTTCATTGTTTCTTGCAGAACATTACCACGTAGAACTGTAGTCTTACCTGAGACTGTAACCTTGCATTTTGCAATAAATTTGGCCTTTCCCACACTTTCTCTGTTACCTGAGATTTTGTTGACAAGTCAAAAACTTTTGTTTTCACTTCTAGAAATGCATGCATGGCCCCTTGCAGTTTTGTGCATCAAGGAGAGACTACTGCTTGTATTATAGCTGTGCTGAGCAGATGGTCCTACAGTATGTTGGATTGTAGATAGAAGCATGTGCACGTTGTGCCTTTGTGTGATAGATGTGTGTTTGGAATAGAACATTATGCAAGAAGAACTATATTATGCTTGTAGTAAGCTATCTTACCAGCAGACATTTATGTATAGTTAATTTGTACCTACTGCAGAATTTTGGTATGAAATCTAGAGCGCATTAATTCTGATTATCATCTGTTTCTTGTTGCAAGCCTTGGATTATATTAAGAAAGTTGTCTGATTAGGAACTTTAATTTTTGTCTGAAATTTTTTGATTTGCACTATAAATGTATCTGATAATGAACTTTGTTCAAATCTAACTAATTTTGTGGTACATTGGAAGTTGATGTTTTGGAAACTATGGAAGTGCTGAGCTTCTTTGCTGGATATGTGTAACTGGAATATGTTAGAGAAATGCATAGACTCTATTCCTAGTGACAGTGCCTTCAGAAATATGTAGACACCATAGTATGAGGGAGAATGCCTTGAAAAACACATTCTCAATTGGATGGTTTAAAAAATACGGAAACTGGACTCATGCTGAGTGTCTCCGGAGGATACATAGATACTGAAGTAATATTTATTCACTGTTTATACTGGTTCAATTCAGGCGATTTCATTGTTTTTTGCGTATAAAATCTTATAAGAGCTTGAGATGTTTATTTAATATCGTCATAATAAACTTGTTATTTGCATTGTCACAAATACCAACTTCAAAAAATAAATGCGCAATAGTCTAATAATATTTGTAAAAATTTGAGTGTGAATGTAGACATTGCCTTGAATTCTGTACTGCAGTCACAAATTTTTGAACGCAATGTGTCATGAACATTTTTAATGCTGCATATAGTGTGTAATTGTAGCAGAACATGCAATTGGTTATTAACTGCATAACTACTGTTTACAGACTGAGACATGGCAAGGCAGTTTTACTTTACTGCTTGCTACTATTATACTTGCCAAACAACTGGATGGTAGGAGAATGCTCAAGATCACCTTTTCCCCCACCATAATTGCCTCACAAGCTTACATTCTGTAGACAGTGTTCTAGTAGTTTTCCATAATTGTTCAGTAGAAGACCTCCAGTGGGTAAGTGGTAACAGTGCATCTCTCAGCATGGTTATATACAACTCGTATCCCTTCTCCTGGCAGTCCAGAATTTATGGAATTGAATTATGCAGAGTTTTGGCGTGAAATGTAATTTAAGAAACACACTGTTATTGTTGCAGAGTTTGTGTATTTGGAGTGGTTGGGGGAGGGGGGGGGGCTGTGAAGTTAATGTGCCCATTTCCTAAGGACGGCCCTGAATGCAGACTGGCCGAAAGGACGAAACAGAGCGCAAAAGGTGATGTACACATTTTCCAAACATTGATTTTGATATATCACTGGCCCTGATGTTCAATTATTGCTAATACATATCTCACAGTGAAGCAGTTATGTTTCATTTCTCTTTCCTATGATTAAGCATGTAAAGTTCACATACTGAAATCTTTCACATGTCTGAAATCGGTTTAACAAACTCCTTTACTTCAGTATTCTGTCCCCATTCATACAACATAATATTTAAGTCGTGAATTATTATATTAATATATTTATTGAATCACATTAACTTTACTTGTC